TGAGTAGGATTTTACTCGTTATTAGAATTTGCAATTTTTATAAAACTCATCCCTGACATGAAAATTAAGCTTTTTAAATTATTATAAAAGGACAAAAGGTTTTTAATAATAAATTATTATAACAGATGGCGCCAAATGCAGGTTTAAATGTCGGGAAAGTTAAGCAACTCGTTGCTGTTATTATTATTATTATTATTATTATTCATTCTCAAACAAGCGTAATTTTCATCAAATTATTTTTATAATTTGCGAAAAACAACACAATAAATATCGATTTTACGAAGTAATATTTTCATTTGAAACTAGGTATTTAAAGTTTTAACATTTTTTAAACAAAATTTTAATTTAAACGTAAGTGTTGTAATGTTATGAATTTTAATCTATTTAAATTTTTGGCATTCCTACTTTTTAATGTATTATAAAAAAAGATTGTCCGCCGGGCACAAAGAGATAAAAATACGAAAAATCTCATGATTTTCGGTATTATGTAACATAAAATTTTAATTAATATAAATTAAATTGTAATTTAAAAAATAAATATTTTTAGAATTAAATTAAAAAAAAACACACACACACACACAATTCACTCAAAATTATTGTTGAATTACATTATAATCGAATTACATAATGAAAAACTGCTTGATTATATAAATAATATCGTAATGTCTTACTCGTACTAATGATATTCATCAAAATTTCAATATAAATTATTGATATATGATATTTTAAAATTTGTTTTCATCTCGCAACGAGAAGATTAATCCGCCCACCTGACAGCGTAGAGAAACACCATCATAAAAATTGAAGTTTTCAGCCTGACTGACCGAATTTCTTCTTCCTTCCTCGATGACCATCCTATTGTATAATTCATAAGCGAAAAAGTTGCAATTAACAATGAAAACTGAAATCTCAAGAGCAATTTAGAAGCTTTTCAAGAGAACAAAACAAACAATATTTATTTCTCGAATTGTGGAATAGAAGTTCCTTTTCACCAATTCTACTTTGAATGATTATCCTTCTTCCCTCCGAGTAGATACTTGCATTGTAGTTTACGAAGGAAGATGGTTAATGGAACCAAAAAAAATTTTTTTTTTGAAAAACAACCTTTTCTTTAAGTAAATATTAGGTCTATAGGATCAAATCAATTGCAAATTTTCATTTATCAAACGAATTAAATAATTTATTTAATATTTTAAAAGTATAAAACGTAATCAAGTCTATCGCAATACATAGAATAGTATTACAAACATTGAATCCATAGACTATGTAAAATTTAATTTTTTATTTAAAAATCCAGCAACGGGTTGCTTAACTTTCCCGGCAACAACATTTAAAACTGCATTTGACGTCATCAGTTATAATATTTTTTTAAAAGAGTTTTTATATTATTAATTATTATAAAATGGCGAAAAGCTTAATTTTGAGGGTAGGGACTAGTTTTATAAAAAAAAATTTAAATGCTAATAGCGAGTAAAATCGTCATTAAGTCCGATCCTACTCGAGATACGACACACTTTTATCTTTCCATCCCATTGACATTTAACCACCAAACTTTAATAGCATCGAACCCCTTAATGCACAAACCTCCCTGCAAAATTTCAGAAACTTTCGACAAAAATCACAGGAGTTATTAAGCTTTAAACAAGGTGAAGAAAATCATGCCACATACATCCATACATACAGAAAAATAACCCGAATTTTTAAAACATTTCTCGACATTTCAACGTCCATTCAGACCAAAAGTGTAAAAATCTTGGGGTGGGGATCAGTTTTTTGATCGATCGTCATAGTTTTCCTCTGTTATATATTACAGAGCCGGAGAAAGTAAAATAAATTAGATATAATTTGTAATTTAACCTCTGTTCTGTGATTAGTTCGTCATATAAAATATAATTTTTTGAGAATTTTACGTTGTAATTTTATAATTAGCTCATTAATTATCCTACAAAATTTCAAGTATGCTTTACGGTTAAAATATCCACCAACTTATAACCATAACTTACTTTAAAAATTGTTGAAATAACGAAACTTTTAACTTTACAAACACTTCAGAGACTTTCTTGCAAATTTACGTTAAGAATAATTAACCTTCAACATAAATCAGGTGGAGTTTTGCTCCACTAATACTTTGTATTCCCGAGATTTTGTAATTAAATAAAGTAATTAAATTTATAATTTTAATTAGACCAATTCATTTCAGTTTTTCTTGATTAAACACAAAATTATTTTTACAAATCTATAAAAATTAAATACTTTCATTTCTTATAATTTAACATATAAAATGTATAAAGATTCCATATTTATACGTTTATATACGTGTATATTTTATAATGAAATAGATTTTCTTAAAATTTGAATTTGAAACTTCTTAATTTAGTTTAATAAAAAGTAAAATACATCACAAATGGATACGAGTCCAATTTTGCTTGCCATGTTCAATCACCAGTAAAAATAAGTAAAAAAATTAATACTCTACAAATTTGTTTGTTTAGAGATTATAAAATATTACTTGTGAATAATTATTTTATCAATTTTGCGCTTAAATTAACTATTTAAAGCACATTATTGCTTATGCATACTTAATTTTATATGTAATAAAATTAATATCTTGAAGTAATATTAAATATTACAAACTGTTCAATAATATATAAAGAAGAGCAATAATGAAAATTATGTTTAAAGTTTATGGAAGAAAATAACCTTAAAATATCTGACGTTATTACGCGTTCAACAACAAAAATATTCAAATTATTTTTTAATAAGATCTTTATCTAATTACAACATCAATTTCCGAAAGAATAATTAAGCTTTCATGAAATTACATTATTATTAGTAATCCAGAATATTTAGTTTCAAATTAGCAATTTATAACAAAGTCAGGCTATATAATACGTGGAAGATGAAAATAAGATGATAAAAAAAAATGTAGAGAATATCATCCTACTGTTTCTATAGAAACCTAGGACAATACTTTCCACAAGTAATTCTTGATTTATCTTAATGAAGTTGGTTGACGTCTTTGTTTATGCTTTAGATTTAATTCGTATAAGAAAATTATTTTATTTGTAAACACTAATAACGTTAACTGTTTGTCTGTCCTTCCTTAATCTCGAAAATAGAGTAAGACACATAAAATTCAAAACCAGATGTAGAAAGCTTAGAGGTAGGAAGCCCCGAAACTATATATGAACTTCCGATACAAATTTGAAGTTACGTTATTTCAATTTAAAACTTCCCCTGAGTTAGATAGATGATCGGCACGACTCAATTGCTAACGGAAAAGTATGATGTATAGGGGCAAGACACCACTAATTTAAGGTGGAGAGGGTATATTTTAAATTAATTAAATTAAAAATATGATTAAAAATAGCAATTAACAAATAATCGTTCGTTCTGTATGGATTTTTATTCAAAAAAAGAAACACTCCTAAAAAAATGGCTGCCGTTTAGAAATGGACAGTATTGGCGGTTAGACTACATTAAGAAACATAGTTGTAGATTTAAAAACATTTTCTGATCTCTCATTTAAAAAAACTTATTATTTACCCCTGTCATTAGCCGAATTAATTAATATTTTATAGTGAATAATTAACTTTTAAATAAACTAAAACTTATTTTGAATTTTTATCATTTATAATGTATAATGCAATTAAGATTTGGTTAAAAAATTAAAATGAAAGTTCTTCATTTTTGACTTGTAACTTCCAAAATTAGATTTATTTAATCTTATCAAAGTAAATGAGACTTTACATAAACTTTTTTCATTACTCCGGGAGTCGCATGGATTACAAATGCAATCAATAATGGGAACTAGTGAACTGCATCCGAATTATATTGTAGTTCATCTACTTATTTATATCGATCGATTATACATAAAACTATTTTTTGTAACATCTAAAATTAAAATCGTAAATTCATGCAATACTTCGAGCTTAACGTACCCTTACGCTTACAAAAGTATTTCCTAAAATTCTTAATTTCGTTTGTCTTGAAGTAGCTTCCAAACCAGGTTCTGTATAATTCATTTTTAAGGGGGGCGTGTTCTTCCGTCGAGGCTACTGGCGTATTTTTCAGAGCACTCGGCTTTCTACACCAAGAGTAAGAATTTAATCGTTTTTTTAAACGTTAACTATTACTAATAAGTTTAAAATTGTTATTATTTATTATAACTTATATTGGCAATAATAAAAATAATTACTATGCAACGTTCACCATTCAAACGAGGAAGACCTCCATTAAACCGTACCCAACCAGGAACAAAGAAAAACCAGTCATCTTCATCAAGTTGCAAAACGATAATGGACTTTAACTTTTGCCCTGAAGAAAACCTTCAAGAAGAATGCATCGAAGAAGTGAATTATAATCGAAAATCATCGCAAACTAGTGCAAATGATACTCCAGGTGAGTCAACTACTTCTGAACAAATTTTGACTAATAAACCGGACATTTCTTTAGACACCATTACTTCCGTGCTTTGGGGACAAAATATCTGATTTGATAAATACAACTAACGATAAACTCTTTAACCAAATGGTAATTATCAAACAGGAACTTGATTTTATTCACGAAAACATTCGTGAAACGAAAGAAACTCAGAAAAAAATGGAAGCAGAGATTAATAGTTTGAAGCAAGAAATAGACAAATTACAAACGGATAAAGAACTTTTACAATTTAAAATGGACTCGTTAACAAATGAACATCGTTACAACAATATAATTATGTATAATTACCCAAATCATAAAACCACTTCAAAAGCAGAAATACTCAACTTTATTACTAATACATTAAATTTACAAGATATAACTCAAAAGGATATACTTGAGATAATNTCTAAATATTCACGAAATAATTCAATTCTAACTTTTATTATTTCATTTTGTTTTATACTTAGAATTAATATTATTATAAAAGTGATATATTTTATAATTTCAAATAAACAGACGATATAAAATAATATACAGTACTGTAATCTCATTTACATAACTAATTCGACCAATCACAGAAGAGGTTTTCAATTACGTCAGAGTTAACTATCGTCTGTCGAATGTCATCAATAATTTTCGAATTAATGGCGTGAATTTTATGATTATGATTAATTAAATATTTACTTAATGGAAGCGATTCTGCTCTGTATGAAAATAAATGAATCTAAAAGCCAAAGAATAATTATAAAGATAAAGGTAACTGTAATTATTAATCGTGAAAGTTGTATAAACTGAAATTAGTATTAGGCCTAATAATAAAATTCAACTTGAATTAGGCCTAATAATAAAATTATTATACTTTACATTGTTCTTATGTTAACTTAATCTTATAATTTTTTTTTATTTTTTAATATTTAGCAAGTTTAAGAGTCGCCTCTAATGTACGTTTCTTGTTTGGTAAGTTTGGTAAGTGCATATCAATGTGTTTTTATTAGATTAGACATATATCTTATAATCTGTTTAAGATAAACATCCTAGAACTTTATCGCTAGCATCTTGGATCCTTACATTAAGCAAACTAACACTTTTACATAAGAGGCTGTTACGTAAGAGGGAAAGTATGGCGGTAGGTAAAAAATATACCCAAGATTTTTACATTTTTGGAACTCGGGGAGACCTTAAAACATGAAGAAATGCAAAAATATTTGATACCTTTTCGTTAACTGGGCGCCATTCAATTTTCAATCCAGTTTTAGAAAAAAGATGTTTAATTTTACATTTTTTTACAGATAGACCTTATTTTACAAACATATTACAATGAATATGTTTATACACATTTTTACTACTATTATTTTAACTTTTTTTTTTTTTTATTTGAATTTTTAACTTTAGCATTCCGCGAAACCAAACATACAATAAATAATAGAAAAGTAGTAAAAATGTGTATAAACATGTATATAAACACATTCATTGTAATATTAAACATGTGTGAATTACTAAATAAAATATCGATTTTGCTAAAAATATTAGTAAAACTGACTGGCGCCCAATTAACGGAAAAGTATCAAATATTCTGAGATTTCTGGGTCTATTACAGATGTTTGTGTGTGAAGGACACGATTATTTTTCACCTATTTTGAAGCCTTTTCCCGTGTCAAATATTTCTGAAGTTTAGCAGGTAGGTTTGTGTATTAGGGGCAAATGTTTCTAGATATTTTCAGGAAAATCGGATCATTGGTTCGGGAGATATGGTTTCACCCCCTTAATATCACTGGCTTTTTAGTGCTTTCTGAGCGGGAAAAGACCTAAAACCACAAAAAGAAAAACTCTTTAAGATCTCCCGAACCAATCTTAAAACTTAAAGATAATGGTAGCAAAAACAAATAATGGCGGAAAAGTCCAGCAAAAACTTTGCCAACTTGTTTATTAAGTGCATTAAGATGTTTAATTTTATTTTAAAAATATTATAACAAGAATTTAAAAAAGTGTTTATAAATAACTATAACAGTACATCACGTTGATAAAGGTCATTATTTATACATAAGCTAAAAATTCTTATCGTAAAACAGGAAGTATCTCTGCATTCATAATAATATTAAATAGTAAGGCTCGAGGCATAACAGATATTTTTCGAAAAATCTTTCCTTCGTTTTGAAATATTCATCCGTGGCCTAATGGTTAGCTATGTAAATGCTTCGTTGTGAATGATCGTGTTTCCTGACACCATCCCAGAAATCAATCTTATATTTAATGTTTATATTATTATATCTCTAATATATAACTTATAAACAATGTGGAAACTGTTTATAAACGTGAAAAGTAAAAATGTCATTTATCTATATAGTTTTATTGAATTAAGAATACGATAGAGCGTCGTTTATTCGAATCAATTGGGGACTGGGTTTTCGGATAACCGATTGTGTACGAAAAAATATATTAACCTATCCCATGTTGAAATTTTTCTCCGTTGCGTGTCGCTTCGCGTTGAATTTTCGTCGACGTTAAGCCTAACGTAAACTTTTTAAAATAATAATCGTGGATATTGTATCGTTAAAAATTATTTCTTTATTTTTTACAAAGAAAATAAATATCTTGAAAAATATAAAAACAAAAAAATTATACTTTAGAAGTTAATATAATATCAAAAACGTTCGATTCAGCACGGCACACAGTCCTCAGAAAAACACTACACAAAAGTGCCAGTGCTGCCAGCTAAAACATACACATTAACAAAAAAAAAAAAATAGTGGAGTAGCCAAAGATTGCAGCTCCATAGCACTAGCGAAAATTAAAATTTGCCGATTGGAATCCTTTCGGTTAACCGACGTTTCGGATAACCGGCTTTCGGATAAACGAGGCTATATTGCAGTATATTTACTAAAACTGAAAAAATTTCATTTAAGTTTACAGTTACTTGTTCTCGAATCTTATATAAGTTACACATTCTCATGAATAGAAGAATAAATTTTAAAATTAAATAATAAAGTTCAAACTAAAGTACTTTCAGTTAATAATAAATTATAGTAACCTCTAGTTATATCGCATATTCGGATATACCGCGCTTATTTTTTTATCTTCCAAATATAAAAGCGCTTAACAAGTAATTCTTTAAAAAAGTCGGTTGCCATTGAATTTCTACAGGCAAAGAACTATTACCTTATTCCAGGTAATGACGTTTAAACTACATTATATGAAATACAACCTACGAAAAAGCAAGTCGGCATGGAAATCGTAAATAGACAAAACAAGTGGACAGCTACATCAATTATATCGCACCATCGATATAGCGCTCATTTGGTTTGTCTCTTATAACAAGAGGCTACTGTACATAATACATAATTTAATAATAAATAATAATAAATTATTATTATTATTATTAATTTAAATTAAATTTAAATTATGTATTATTAAATTATTATTATTTGAAGACAAGTTCGCCCAAATAGGGATCACCATTTCATACTTTTGCATTATAGACAATACTTTTCCGGCGACCGACCTTCCTTTCTAGGTTACTAGCCGCCAAAAAGTTTAAAAAAGTCCTTTTAAAAACNTTTATTTATTATTATTATTTGAAGACAAGTTCGCCCAAATAGGGATCACCATTTCATACTTTTGCATTATAGACAATACTTTTCCGGCGACCGACCTTCCTTTCTAGGTTATTAGCCGCCAAAAAGTTTAAAAAAGTCCTTTTAAAAACCCAAAAAGATTTCCAATTAAAAACACAAAGATTTTCTAAAATCGGAACTGGTGTTATACGAACGTCTTCCTTGTTACCATCTGTACCTTCTTGGGGGTTTTCTGCCTTTTATCCAGAAAGGAAGGTCGGTCGCCGAAAAAGTATTGTCTATAATGCAAAAGTATGAAATGGTGATCCCTATTTGGGCGAACTTGTCTTCAAATAATAATAAAAAATAAAAAGAACCATCGGAAGAAAAATTACGAATAATAAATTACGTAAAATGATAATTTTATCACTAGCACAATAAAGAAATTATTTGTGATTGAAAATATTAACGAATTTTTTATATTAAATCACTCCCGACTTTTTGAAAATTTTTTATTACCTAAAATACGTTATATAACATGTTTCTATATGTTTCGGCAATTTAATAGTGATATATAAATTTCAATTAGCCTATATCTGAAACTACATATGTAGTTACTTTCACGGCTGTTATACTGTATGTTGTTAACTGTTGCCGAGAAAGTTATGTATCTCGTTGCTGGATATTTTTATAACATTCTTCTTCATGAAATTAGTCATTTTTTAGATAACACAAACTCATTCATAATTAAAAGATTCATAATAAACAGATTAACAAATAGTTTGATTATATAATCAAACTATTTGTTAATCTGTTTATTATGTTATTATGTCATTTTTTTATTTTTAATTAAAAAAAAGTTAACCTTAAACGTTTGTTTTCTTATAAATTAGAACTTATAAAAATGGAGACAAAATTGTCGATTAAAACGATGTGTTTACGTCCTAGTGTAAATATTTGAGGAAATTTTTAAGCCTACAGCAAGTACGATTTAAATATTAAAAATTTCATTTTTAATATCAAATATGCTGCAGATTGATGAAATCAAATAATATCAGATGAGCTACTGTTTTTAAACATTTTTTTACGTGATTTAAACTTACGTCATCGTTGACATTCAACTGATTCTATCTACGATTCGTTGTGCAATGGTAGAGAGGACGTCATGATGACGATATAAAGTAACGTAAAATGACGTCATGGAAAACTTGTGTTTAAAAATAAATTTCACGCAACTTTAGTAAAAAGAATTTGTTTATTATTTTAAAAAATAATAATAATTAATACCTAATATAATGTATAGCATGGTATTCATTTAATTAATCGTTTTTCTTCATAATAAAATAACATGAAATATTTAAAAAATATTTATATAACGATATTAATAATTATATATTTTTGTAATGTAATTATTGGTTTAATTTTAAAATATTACTTTATAATTAAAAATCAACAATTTATAAGGGAAACGTTATATTAACATTTCATTTAATAAAGTATTATTGCTATAGGTAATAAGATATGTTTATTCATTATCCTTTTCGAAACGTAATTATTTAAAAAGTTATAATTAATTTTAAAAACATTTTGTTTTAGCCAATTTTGTTAAATTATTTAAAATCAAAACTAATTTCTTGTAACTGTCAGCTATAAAGGGTGAGGCAATAATTATTGCCACCTTGAATATCTCTTAAACTAAGTGAACTATCAAGATCCCGTTTCTTCGAGGTTGTATGATGTCAAGGGGGACGCATTTGGATAAAAATTATTTGACCTTGAGTGGGCGCATCAAGGTGAAATGAAGGTCTTTCATTTTTTAAAATAAAATATGTGTGTATATATTTTGATGGTGACTACTGAAAGAAATATTGCGATCTATAACATAAGGGCATTTCAAGTCATCAGAGCTCAGTTATAACAAAATATTTTGTTATAACTGAGATTCGACATTTTAAGATATTCAAGGAGCAATATATGTTCATTAATTTCATTTTATAAAGTTCATATAAACATTTTTATTAATTTACATTAAAATATTATGGTTTATATGTTTAAATTCACTAATCTATTAATAAACACGAATTTTATTTATAACCATTATCGGATCAATAAATATTAAATAAATGGTTTATAAAACAAATAGAAAAGATATAAAACAAATAGAAAACAAATAGAAACAAATAGAAACTATAAAACAAATAGAAAATATATTACTATTATCATTAATGACCTGTAATATTCTCTCCTTTTTTTTGTGAAACAATTAAATTTATGCATAAATTATTGAGGCATCAATTATAAATTATGTGTCTTATTAGAGTCAAACACCGTTCAAACAAATAGTTGCACAAGAAAATATATTGAAATTAATTATTATTGTAATATTAATTACTCGACTAGAGAAATTATATGATG